CTTGCTCTGCGCCTTCAGCGTCGTAGTCGAGGAGCTTGCCCACCGTTCGAGCGTACTCCATCATGGGCCGCACCTGCTCCGCGCTCCATCTCCTCCACAAGTCGAGGTTCGAGCCCAGGCTCGATACGCCGCTCCACAGGGCGACCCGCCTGTAGTCGATCACGCTGCCAAACGCGAGGCTGCGCGGCGACACACCGATGAAGACCGGCACGCAGCCGCCGCGCGACGCAAAGATGATCGCCTCGACGTACTTGCCCGTGTTGGGGTAGTCACCGGCGGCCACGATGCAGAACTTGTGATCCAAGCCTACGAGGAGGAGTGCCTCATGACAGAGGCTCCAACGTGGCGGCGTGATCGTGTGTGCCTAGGAGAGACGTATCGCTCGCGCACCCGCGCGGAGGTACGCGTCCCGGCCAAGCTTCGACGGGACGACGGCCCCTCCGGCGGCCACAAAGTCGCGCAGGAAGCCCGGCTCTCTCAACACTGTCCGGCATCTGGTGGCGGACCGGGGCTTCAAGTCGCAACTCATGTTCACGGGGCCGTGGAGCCCCGTGCAGTGCTCTTGCCACGTCCCGTTGCGCGCGCATTCGAGCCCGATGCCGAGCGTCCAGACGTCGGGCGAGGCGACCGTCGCATCGGAGCGGTTGTAGAGCTGTCTCCAGATGCGCCAGCGCGTGGTTGAGATCCATAGCTGGGGGACGTGGCCGACGAAGAGGGCGGTGCGCCTGTTTTCCCAGGCGGTGGGGGGCGCGAGGCCATCCAGCTTGCTCCCGACTGTAAGCGCAAACGGCACCAAAATCTGCTCACTCCGCGTCTCCATTTCGGAGAAGATGTACACCGAGCGGCGGGGGAGATGCGGCACTCGAGTGTGTATGAAGAAGGAGGAGGCGACAATCGGCACGGTGGAATTTGCCGCAAGCTCGATCAGCTCTCGTATGGCTGGGTACCGATGAGCGTCTCGAAAGGTGAGATCCGATCCGAAGAGGATCCAGTCGGCGCTGGATCGCGGCGTCGAGTTGACGCGCGGAGCAATTCTGCTGAACACGTCGTACTGAGACTCGGTCGACCCTCCCTGCCGAGACTTGGTCGACGTCTTGTGGACGGGTTCAAAGACGTGCACGTTGCAGCGGGGAAGCACGCGACTTGATGGGCCAATGCGTTCCGTGGTATTCGCGTCAAGCGCGCTGTCGCTGCCCGATCCGGCGAGCAGCAACAGCAGAGACGTGTACATACAGCGCTTACAGGTCGCCGGCGGCCGGGCAGCGGCCACTAGACGCCGCTACGGAGGCGGCGGTACGGACCCAGACGCCGCCGTTCTGGTTTTTAGGTAGGTAGGTAGGTCGGGTTACAATAACGTCTATTGTCCTGTTTTTTTCTAATTTAAAATTGTTTTGTGTGTGTGTGTGTGTGCGTGTGTGTGTGTGTGTGTGTGCGTGTGTGTGTGTGTGTGTGTGTGTGTGTGTGTGTGTGTGTGTGTGTGTGTGTGTGTGTGTGTGTGTGACCGTGGAGTGCTGGGGGTGGCGACAGGAAGGATGTGGCCCTGAGTTATGTGTACGCCGACTCAGGGTGTGTGGCAGCCAGCTGGCTGTGTGTCTTGTGAGCTTTTTTGTGTCTGTGTGTCGATCGTGCGTGTCGTCATCATCTGTCCAGCGTCCACCCATACCGCGTTGGTGTCCAGTCCGAGCCTGGCTGTTCTTCACCTTACTACCTACCTACCTACTGTGTGTGTGTGTGTGTGTGTGTGATTTTTAGCAATACCAAACAACTCTAACACTCACACGTAATTTGGGGCCTGGAGCCCTGTTCACGCGCGCCGAGACGTTGTTGTTGTTGTTGTTGTTGTTGTTGTTGTTGTTGTGTGTGTGTGTGTGTGTGTGTGTGTGTGTGTGTGTGTGTGTGTGTGTGTGTGTGTGTGTGCGGTACTATGGAGGGGGAGAGGAAGAGCAAGGGCGAGAGGGGGCAGTGGACGGGTCGCTGGCACACAGGGGGGGCAGGGCGGTGGGCGGCGACCGCCACGTACCATCTTACGGCAGCGAGTATCGGACCGATTTTGGCGTTTATCACATACTTCTCATACTACACAATAGTTACCTTGGAGTCCGGCTCCCCTCGCTCGGCGTTTGTCCGCTGTGCCAAGATGCACTCGATTTCCCACTCTCGGTTAGCGTCTTCTTCGATCGCCCGCCCTTCTCCTTCGAATAGATCATAGAACCGCGTCGTGGCCGTCGCACCGTCCGGCGGGCGAGGCAAGAAGGCGCCAAACGGCAAGCCGCACGAAGAACTCGGCGATGCCGCAATGGTCAACCCGCGTGCGAAGCACGCGACAAGACGCAAATTCCTGCTCAAACGACCCGTCAAGACCCTTCGCTCAGCGTGGGGCATGCTCATCGAGATGGAGCCGACTGCACACCTCAGTTACAGTAACCCAAAACAACCTGACGTGGCGGCGGCGAACATCGGCGACGGGCATGCGCGCCTCGTTGGCGACTTGAAACTTACGAGCTCGCTGGCGGTGGCGACCGGCTCGGCTGGAAGGGGGCTTTTGTCGCCTTCGGCAACACCGAGCGGGGGCTGCTCGACTTAGTGTTAGGGCATGCTGCATGGCCGCGGCCGGAGGGGGGGGGGAGGCGGAGGATGCAGAGGCGGAGGCGGCGGCGGCGGAAGAGGAGGAGGAGGTGGAGAGTGAGGGGGAGGCGGAGGCGGGGGCGGCACCTGTGACGGCCCGCTACGAGAAGGGCGACTACCGGTTCGCGCGGGAGAAGAATTGCGACCTGCGCTTGCTCGACTTCGAGACGTTCGGCGGCTTCGGGAACGGCGTCCGCAGAATTCTTCGGCAGGCGGCGGACCAGCTGAGTAACAAACTTTCGCACGCTCAGCACCTCGATGAGGTCACATGGACCACCAAGAACTGGCACGGGCTGCAGATGCAGCGCTTGTCTGTCGTTCTCCACACCGCCGTGGCGTGGCAGACGGTGAACGAGCTAGCGTGCGGGGAGAGCGGCATTGTGCACGGAGCTAAGTGCATTGCCGTTCTTAACGGAGTCGCTTAGGCGGCTCCGGTGGTGTGCCTGTGATAGTGCTAGCACGCGCCAGTTCGCACCTGTGTCGAGCCTGTCTGCTGTGAGAGATGTTAAAATTCTTTTCAGCACAGCGCTTCCTTGTCCCCGACACCAAGGAGCACGATAGATATAAGGAAAACAAGCCTCGATGGCTGGTCTGCTCTCGCTGGTCAACCTGCTCGTCCTCGCCTACTCCGTCTCTGGAGCGCCACTACCGCTTCAGGCTCTCGACGAGACGGCGGTGGTGGTGGAGAGTGGTAGTGGAGGTCTCGATCGCGATGCGGTAGACGCCAAGGCGCCTGGCGGGAAGGACAATGACCTGCAGACGCCAGATCTCGACAAGAGCAACGCTGTTCACGACCTCGCCGACGCCAAGCCGCCCGACGAGAAGATTGCCTTGGTCGACGACCTCCTAATCGCCGGAGCCGTGGGCATGGCGGGCGGCGCACTGCTTGGCGGCGCAGCCTCTCGCCCGCAGGCTACGCAGGTCGTCTACGAAGCACCGCCGCAGCCGTGCCCGTACGGGCGGTACGCGCCTGCGTGCAAGAACTGGCCTGGCTATTCTGGAGGGGCCTCAAACGGCCTCGGATCCGACTACTACCACGGGCCGCACCACTACGGCCGCGCTCTCGACGCGGTGGTCGACGCCAAGCCGCCCGGTCTCGATCGCGATGCGGTAGACGCCAAGGCGCCTGGCGGGAAGGACAATGACGCACCTGCAGACGCCAGATCTCGACAAGAGCAACGCTGTTCACGACCTCGCCGACGCCAAGCCGCCCGACGAGAAGATTGCCTTGGTCGACGACCTCCTAATCGCCGGAGCCGTGGGCATGGCGGGCGGCGCACTGCTTGGCGGCGCAGCCTCTCGCCCGCAGGCTACGCAGGTCGTCTACGAAGCACCGCCGCAGCCGTGCCCGTACGGGCGGTACGCGCCTGCGTGCAAGAACTGGCCTGGCTATTCTGGAGGGGCCTCAAACGGCCTCGGATCCGACTACTACCACGGGCCGCACCACTACGGCCGCGCTCTCGACGCGGTGGTCGACGCCAAGCCGCCCGGTCTCGATCGCGATGCGGTAGACGCCAAGGCGCCTGGCGGGAAGGACAATGACCTGCAGACGCCAGATCTCGACAAGAGCAACGCTGTTCACGACCTCGCCGACGCCAAGCCGCCCGACGAGAAGATTGCCTTGGTCGACGACCTCCTAATCGCCGGAGCCGTGGGCATGGCGGGCGGCGCACTGCTTGGCGGCGCAGCCTCTCGCCCGCAGGCTCAGGTCATCTACGGGCCACCACCGCAGGCTCCGCCGTGCCCGAATGGTCAGTTCCTCGCGTATGTGGGTGACAGGCTGCGGTGTACGGATCACTACCGCGCTTGAGGACAACACGCCTAGCACACACATACTGACTGCATACTGACACACACACACACACTCACACACACACACACACACACACACACACACACACACACACACACACACACACACACACACACACACACACACACACACACACACACACACACACACGGTCGACCGCACACGTTTTCGGCTTGTGTGCAGTGTCCAGTGAGAGTGAGTTGTTTTTCGGTCATATCTGGGCGAGGTGTTGAGACTTCGACGGTTATGTGTGCACAAATGTGGCGCGCTACGAAGTAAAGAACCCTTCAGCAGCTCACACGCGCTCACGCTGTACACTACTGTGTCACACTCTCACAGCAGCTGTGGGCACCGTCCTCCGAGCTCCGTCGCACTCTTACTCTAAGTAAGTGTAAGACCGCAAAGCGCAATGCGCATGTGGCATATGTGACTTGTGACACCCTGACACCCGAGAGCGGCTTGAGCGGGGGGAGACTCAGTCGGAACTGGGAGACCTGCTGGCCTGCTGCTCCTTTCTAGAGCTGTACTCTGTACACCCATGCATCTCACACGTCACAGGATAAAGCCGTAGAGGTGTCCGTATTATTGTAATGGCCGCTAGGCACTTGTGCCACCCGAGCTGCTGGGCTTCGGCCGCTGTGAGACACATCCAAACGCACCTCTCACGTCTGCATCTCAGTATCAGTGTCACAATCAGTCCCACGGCATCCTCGCGTCCGCAGACCCCGTGGCAGACCCCGGGGCGCCCTCGAGCCGCCGGTAGAGGACGCGCCGCCCGTCCTGGCGCGCCATGCGCAGCGCGCCGAGGATGGGGTACATGAAGGTAGTCCCCGAGTAGAGGAGCCGGAAGTGGTAGATCTCGGCGAAGCTCTCCGCAAAGGCCAGCCGCTCGGCGCGGCCGCGCACGCCCATCACCCCGGAACTGGACTGGCGGTCCTGTTCACGGCTTGAGGTGTGAACAGACGCCGTTCACGCCCGTCACCCCGGAGCTGGACAGGCGGTCCTACACTGGGCGGGGAGGCGGGGCGGGGGGGCGGGGGGAGGGCCGGAGATGTTGCCGTGTCGGGCCAGGGGCGAGGTCAGGGCGAGGGGCGAAGTCAGGGCCAGGGGTTGCTAGCGATGTTGGGGTCCGGCGGTCGGGATCCTGCAGCAGCGGGTTGATCAGCACGACGGCGGAGCCCTGCGAGGCCGCCGCCTCGGTCAGCGCCTCGAGCGGCGGCACAATCGGAGCGCCGACCATCGACTGCGGCGCGAGGACGAGGAGCACCTGCAGGGCGCAACACGCCCAGGTCAGGGACGTGCCCTGGCGACCACCGGCTGCGGGCGAGCCCGCACGTCGTCGTCCGGCGCCACCTCCTCCCCTCCGATGGCGCCGAACCGGACGATGGCGTCGGCGCTCCGAGCAAGCCCTCGTTCGGCTCGCCCTCCCCCGCCTGCGGCTACGCGACGCCGTGTCGCCGACCGAGTCAGGGGCGAGTGAGGGCTCGGGCAGCTGCCGCCTGCCAGTCCATCATACCGAGCAGCTTGCTCACCTAGAAGGGTCCTAGAAGGCTCCTAGAAGGCCCCTAGAAAGCTCCTAGAAGGTTCCTACCGAGCAGCTTGCTCACCCCCGCCAGCACGCGAGGGACGCCCGCCAGGACGCCCTCGCCCATCGAGCCTACCCGAGACCGGCCGAGATCAGCCGAGATCGGCCGAGATACCGCGAGCAGGCCCTCGCCCTTCGAGCCTACGGGACGGCGCCGAGAGCCCTCGCGCCTCGGTGTAGTCGGTCACCGCGTCCTGTCCACAGGCCGAGCTTGTGAAGGGGAGCGGTGGAAGAGGCGGACCCTAACCCTAACCCTTGCGGGCAAGCTCCTACTCACAGGCCGAACAATGATGAGCTGTGAAGTCGCCTTTGAGAGCGGCGGGAGAGGCGGCCTCGTATCGAGCGGAAGGCGGCGTTGCCTCGGGCGCGCATCGCGTCTGCCCTCGCCTCGCTCTCGCCCCTCCTCCGCATCGCCTCCTCCCTCGCCCTCTTGTTTTCGAGAGACACCACCCTCTGCCGAAGCGCCTCCCGCTCGCACTCGCGCCGCTCGAGCGCCTCGACCGCCCCCTCCGCGTCGTACGACTGCCACTTGTCAAAGTTGGTCGCACCGCTTCCCACCCGCGTACCCGCCGCCGCCTTCGTGGGAGCCGCCGCCGCCGCCGCAGCAGCAGAAGCAGGAGCAGCCGCGTCGCCGCCCGCCTTGCTCCGCCGCTCGTCCTCCAGAGCGAGCCGTGCGAGCTCCGCCTTGGCCTCCTCGATCTCGCGCGACTCCGCCTCTGCAGCCGCCGCCTCTGCCGCCTCTGCAGACGCTGAGTCGGCTTGCGGAGCGATGCCGCGCAGGGCATTGTCATGAGCTTCGATGTAGGTCGCGGAAGGCGGAGTGCATCTGGTCCACGTTCTGGCGCATCCGGAGCTGCGCTTCCAGCGACATGGCGACGGGTTCTGCGCAGTTGTGGGAGGCTCAGTGGAGAGGCTGTAGCGGCTCCAACACGCGCGCGAGTCCGTTCAGAAAAAGTATTCGCGCGGCAGACATACCAAACCTACTCTACTGATCATGCAGGATGATTACCCTTTGCGAGAAACACCCCTTAATGCTTCCACTCCCGTTTTCGCCACCAACTCAACCAGCCCCTCCCCCCGCGAGAAAAAGAAAGAAAACGGACATCCCAAGGGAGGGATGGGAGGACGGCACGCCGCCACCACACAGGGATTTTTTGGAGAGGGGTGTGATGCGCTAGCCGTCGCCCACTTGGGCGTCCGCCTCTTCCTACATGTAAACACAAACGTTGTTGTTTGGTATTGCTAAAAATCTCTCTCTCTACATGTATCTCTCTTCGCAGTATTCTCTCGCCAATTCTCGCTGCAACCTTTACAACAAGGCCCACCACCGGCGGCCCCACGACGGCGTCCTCGCCGCCTGGGCGGACGCGATGCGCGCCCCGGCCAACGCGCCGGTCGTGCACGGTGACAAGGAGAAACCAGAGCTCACCCGGCAGTACAATGAGGGGTACAAGACTGACCTCGCAGAACCCCATGCGGGACCGGGGGGGTGCGATGAGGTGAATGAAGTCAAGCTCTGGACGCCCCTCCTCAAGACCTCCTCGCCGGGCGTTGGCAACGCCTCGAGTGGCGGCACGCCCGCCTCCGTTGGCCACTCCTACGCCTTCGGCAACACCGAGGAGAAGGCCCGCCGCCTGAACATGGGCTGCAAGGCGCGCGGGCAGCCCAGCCAACCCTTCTCCCACAAGACCGGCCACGGCTACGTCAAGGCGCATCGCGGTTTCTACCACGACGCGATCTTTGTCAAGCGCAACAACTTCAACCTGCTGCTCCACGAGACGTTCGGCGGCGGCTTCTCGCCCACCGCCGCTCTCAAGCTGCGCCGCCTCGCGCGCAAAGTCGCGCGCGGCAGCGTTGACCGCACGGCCTGCTCGCCCAAGTACTCGCTTTCTTTTATGTCCCACCATGCAGAGCGCATCTCTCTCTCTGTTGTGCGAGGCGTGAACCGCGCCATTCGCTCTCACCTGGCAACCCTGTCTGCACGTCTCGCGCGCGCGTGAACAGGGCTCCAGGCCCCAAATTACGTGTGAGTGTTAGAGTTGTTTGGTATTGCTAAAAATCTCTCTCTCTCTCACCTTCATGCCACCTCGCGGTCGTCCCACTCTCGTCGTTCTCTCCCTGTCGCTTCTTCCTCTGTCGCCCGCGAGACCTCGAGTGAGTGAGTGTGAGTGAGTGTGTACACACACACACACACACGAGACCTCGAGAGAGTAGTGCCGAAGGCGCTCTTTTTGATCGAGCCCAAAATCACTGTGAGAGGTTCCGTCGATGTGTGCAATCATCGAACCCCCTTCGCAGTCTCAGGAATGCCTTTGCCTGCGCCTCCCCTCGCCCCGCGCGATGCGGCGCGTCTTGGCCATTTGCGCGAGCGTGCCCAGCCGATTCGCCCAATATCCCAAGCGCTGCAGCAAAATCGTGCGCGGCTGCCCGCCGTGCTGCGACCGCCGCGCGAGCGCTCGTTCCGAGGCTCGAGCGCCACGAATCTGGCGCAGCCGGATTGAGGGCAGAGCGGCCACCTAGCGCGCAGCCGCGAATCGCCTCCATGCCTACTGCGCTCCCGCGACGCCCGAAGCAAGCGCGCGCCATGCTCACCCCATTTATGCTGCTGACGCTCTCCCGCCGCCGCCTGTGCGCCTCGCAGATCCACAAAACAACGTGAGCGAGGCGGGTGTGCCGCGGAGTTCCTTGGCGCTGGGCCTCAAGCTGTGTACGCTGCGAGTAGGTGCGGCCCTTTTGAACCCCCCTCTCCCCAAATTTCACGGCCCTCAAAGACGCTCAGAGCAGAGAGAAAGAGCACTTGATGGCCCGATTACGATGTGCAGCAATCAGAGGAGATTAGCCGATATTCAGGCGATAATTAGCCGACATTTCGTCCGTTAGTGCCTGAGATCCCCCCCCCCCCCCCCCATCATAGGTACGAAAAATCGATCGAAATCATGTCAGAGAACCAGACGCTGATGGTCGGCATCGTGCCGGCCGAAGACGGCAGCATCAAGGTCGTCATCTCCGAGTCGAACTCGCCTCCGCTCCTCGGAGCCAAGGCGGTGCGTGTGCGCTTGTTGTCGCAGATCTCCACTCTCCTCCCAACACGCCCTCCATTCTCCCTCGCCGACAGGCGAGCGGCGCCAAGAACGCCCTCGTGAAGGACGTCCCCGCAAAGTCTGGCGCGGAGGCCTCCGAAGAGAGCATCATCAAGAAAGACCCTTCGGCAGAGGCGCCCGCCGCGGGCACGGTCGACTCGGACAAGGCCAAGGCCACTTCGCTCCTCGGAGCCAAGGTGCGCGTGCGCACGCCAGGGTTGTGATCATCCCTCTCCCGTCTCCGAAAGCCTGCGCGTCCCACAGGCGTGCGGCGTCAAGAACGTCAACATCTCCGAGGCGAAGCCTGGCTCGGAGGACGTCCTCAAGAAGGACCCGGCCGCGGAAAAGGCGCCCGACGCGGGCGCGGTCGACTCGGACAAGGCCAAGGCCATGTTCGCCGCCCACGCGCCGCGCCCGCCCGCCGTTTTCTGGTCCATGTACGACGTCAACGACCACTTCGTCAAGCCGTGGACGCAGGGCACCGGCTGCTCGATCGCGCTCCTGATGAACACGGCGGAGCAGTGGCCGGTCGAGGGCATGTTCTCGCACGCGTGGGCGGGCTCGGTGGTCGAGACGTACAACTGCCTGCAGAACATGGTCAACCACTCCGGCGTGCCGTCGGCAGCTCGGTTCTTCTTCTGCACGTTTTCGATGTATCAGCCGCAAGACGGAGCGGAGGGCGGTCTCTCGATCTCGGAGCAGATTGCACTCGAGCCGTTTGCCAAGATTATTGAGTCGAAGCCGACGCACGGTATGTTTGTGCTCCACACGACTATTTCGGAGGTCTACGACCGGCTGTGGGTGGCGCACGAGGCGGATGTGGGTATCGACGCAAAGCTTCAGACGCGTGGGCTATTCGACATGTACCGATGGACAGTCCAGAAGTTTGAATCGGCCGCCACTGTCAAGACGTGCGATGGTAAGTGTGGCGTGGAGAAGGACCGCGCGTACATTGAACGCCTCATCATGCAGCGTGGTGGCTTCGGGCGTCTCGATGACGTAATCGCGACATTTCGGACGAAGATGCTCGCGGAGCTTACGGACTTCTTCAAGCTGACGGGCGACCCTGATACCACGTTGCTGGCGGGATTTACCAATCCCAACGTGGTTGTTGATAACAGGACATTCGATTGGAAGGAAGAACGAATGGAAATGCAGAGTCCAGTCTACTATTATTGCCACGAAGTGGTATGGAACTTTCAGGCTGAATGGCGGAAAGAGCTAGCCAAGGTGGGCGCCTTGCTTGGGATGGTGGGAGACATGGAGTCAGGTCCGCTTGGAGCTTCGAGTTTCCCTTTGGGACCCGCTCGTGTAATTGAAGAGTGTCATTGAAAACACATATGGGCGGTTAACCGTTAACGTAGGGGCCGTGGCGTGGAGATATAACAGTCGAAATGCCCATGGCTTCGAGAAAGGTAGTGCTACTCTGCTAGCTGCTACAGACACTTCGTCCCCCACTACGGCTAGCACGCGGACGCGCTATTCCGCTAAAGGATGGAGAAGACGAACAGGTATAGGTGCGCAGGCACTTGGATTGTGTCCTCCTCATTCGTCACATTGAGCATTGTGTGTGTGTGTGCGCGCGCATCGTGCGCGTGTGTCTGTGCGCGGCAAGGCTTTTTTTGTCTCTCGCCTTGGTCCCCCTCACATCTCACGACTGACAATAATGCAAATACGGGTTGCGCCACTACGCGTCACACACGCTTCCTTCGCGCAGGCTTCCCCCCCCCCACACACACACCGCTCACCCACGGCCCACGCGCTACGGGCCTTGCACTTTGAATGCCGTGGGGCTCCTGTCGTTAGACGTGGAGACGCGAGGGTTGCCCCCCCTTGCCCCACCACCTCGTGTGTGTGGAGAAGTTTACCTTACCTTACCTTACCCTTCCCCTGCGGCATGCCGTCTGACTCGTCCAGCGCAGCGCGCGCAGAGTGCCTCGCAGCGGCACTTGCACCATGCGGGAGGGCGCCCTGAAAGCCGCCCAGTGCAGCACTCTTGCCGCCCGCCAGATCGGCCCTGGGCGCCGCTCTGTGCCCATGTCGAGCTTCCAGACCTCCCACAGCCAGCCCATGGAACGCAGCAGAGCGGTGTCGCCGGCCAGCCGCAGCTTCTTTTGCAGAACGGCGGCGATGGGAGAGGTGTGCCGCGCGAGGAGAGCGGCGAGAGTCTCCGCGTCGACGACCGCCTGCACGTCGCTCTCCACCGGGCAGACGCCACCCTTGCACACGACGACCTGTGCCGGAAAAGACGCTGCGTGTGAGGTGCTGAGAGGCTGCGTTTGGGTGGTGCTTGTGTGGCAGGGAAGGCCTGGCGCCTTGCACTGAGCAGCGTCCACCTGCCATGTTTCCCTGCCCACCTTCATTCGGAGGACACCAACAGCTGCGTCCGGCGGCGGCGTTGATTGCGACTGCAGCCGCTCGGCCATGTGCTTGAAGATGAAGCGCTCGTCGATCGAGGGCTTCGTTGGTGAGGAGAAGGAGAGGGTCAGCAGTGCCAACGCGGTCGGCATACTCGACACCCAAAGCCAGCAGGCGATAGTCAGTCAGTAGCCGGACGGGTCTATGCACTATGGACCTTGGACCCGCCAGTCGGAAACTTCTCGCAAAGTTCGATTTTTCTTTTTTCGACGATGGAGACAGAGCAACGAGTGCAACTGAACACAAGACCACACAGCCTGGTTCCGGCATGGAGACGCACGAACCAAGCCAGGGTCGGAGCCGGGGGAGATCTACAGAGTGCATAAATTACAGAAAAGCGCGGAGTGTGAGCCCGCGAGCTCACGCCGCCGCCTCCCCCCGCGCCCGGAGCCCCACGCCCACATCCCAGATCTCGTGGTACAGCGCCTCCACCTCGGTCGCCGTCGGCACGATCGGGTTGTTGTTTGGCGAGCCGGATGCGAGGGCGGCCTGCGCCATCGATGGCACCGCCTTGCGGAAGACAGCCTCGTCAATGCCAAACCCCTCGAGCGTGGGCACGCGCAAGTCACTGGTCACCCGCTGCAGCGCGTCCGGGATGCCCATCGCCGCGTCGATGTCGGCGGCGCCCTCGTCGCAGAGACCCATCAGCCTCGCGGCGTCCGCGTACCGCTTGACGGCGCCGCCGGCCGAGAAGGCGGTGACGCGCGGGAGCAGCATCGCGTTGCACATGCCGTGCGGGATGTGGAAGCTGGCTCCGAGCGGCCTGCTCATGCCGTGGATCAGCGTGACGCTCGAGTTGGAGAAGGCGATGCCCGCCTCGCACGAGCCGAGCAGCATCGCCTCCCGCGCCGCGCCGTCGGCCGGAGAGCTGCACGCGGTGTGAAGCGCACCGCCGAGCCTCCTCATCGCCGAGGCGGCGACGCCGTCGGAGAAGGGGTTGGCCTTGGCAGAGACGTACGCCTCCATCGCGTGGCAGATCGCGTCGATGCCGGTGTCGGCGGTGAGCCGGAGCGGCTTGGTGAGAGTGAGCTCGTGGTCGAGGATCGCCTATTCACAGCTCAGTGGGTGTGAAGAGACGCGGCTCACACCTCTCGCCCTGAGCTCGTGGTCGAGGATCGCCTATTCACAGCTCAGTGGGTGTGAAGAGACGCGGCTCACACCTCTCGCCCTGAGCTCGTGGTCGAGGATCGCCTATTCACAGCTCAGTGGGTGTGAAGAGACGCGGCTCACACCTCTCGCCCTGAGCTCGTGGTCGAGGATTGCGGCGAGCGGGAGGTAGGCGAGCCTACAGGGGGGGGGACATGTGAGGGGTTTGCTCGCCTTCCCAGGGACCCCGGTGTTGCGTGTCTGACTGTCGCTGTGCTGCCGTGCGGCTTCGGGCCCGCGGCTGTACGCCAGCCTCGGGGCGGGAGGACGGTACTGTGCAGTGTCTTCAGAGCACCGCGTGAGTACGAGGGCTGTGAGTGCGGCGAATGCGGCTGAATACGGCTGTATACACGTGAGCGACGCGTCCTCTCGAGCGCTGGTTGGGATACAAGAATGCGTCTTCTGCTTCTAGGACGGTGCGCCCGATGCAGAGCATCTTCTCCTCCGTCTCAGAGTCGGTGATGATTGTGAACTTGGTCGCCTCGCTGCCCGTGCCGGCAGTGGTGGGGATGGCGACGATCGGCAGGCTGGGCCTGTCGAGCGTGAACGGCGCCTTGTAGTCGCGCATCCGCCCGCCGTGCGTCCGCAGCGCCGCCGCCGCCTTGGCCGTGTCCATCGGCGACCCACCGCCCAGAGCGACGATCGAGTCGTACGAGCCGGCGGCGAGCGCGTCGACGCAGCGCTCGACGCTCTCGGTCGTTGGATCGCTGATGGTGTCGGTGAAGACACCGTAGTCCGCCACGCTCGTCGACATCGCAGCGACCACCTTGTCGACCGCGCCGCTCTGCGGGCTCGCGAGGAAGCTGTCGGCCACGACGAGCGGACGCCGCATGCCAAAGTTGGCGAGCAGCCCGCCGAGGCGGCCCACCGAGCCGCCGCCGGTGAGGATCGCGCGCGGTAGATCGAGAGAGACGACCATGGATGGTGAAGCGCTCGTCAACCACCTTGGAATTCAGGGGAAAAGAATTTTACACGGGGAAAGAATTGAAAAAAGGGCGCCTCGCACAACACTGGGCACTCTTAAAATCCCTGTGTGGTGGCGGCGTGCCGTCCTCCCATCCCTCCCTTGCGTTCTCTGTTTTCTTTCTTTCTTTCTTTTAACACTTAACGGAGTCGCTTAGGCGGCTCCGGTGGTGTGCCTGTGATAGTACTAGCACGCGCCAGTTCGCACCTGTGTCGAGCCTGTCTGCTGTGAGAGAGAGAGTTGTTTTGTTTAAATTCTTTTAACACGGGGAAAAAGAATTTTAGCCGCGAAAAATGTTTCTATCTGGGATCGTCCTTCCTGCTCGTGCGCTCAACACCTTGCTGTTATTTTCTTTTTGCCATGTGTAGGCCCCTCAAGGCCCCCCTACCATATTTGTTTCTCAGGCGAGCGCTGCTGCTGAGGGCGGCGAGGGGGCGGTGACTGGCGGCGAGGGCTGCAGTGGCACGCGCACCCCAGAGGCGGAGAGCGGCGCCCGCGAGGCGCGGGCCGCAGTTGTTCCTGGCGGAGGTGGACCCGCTGTGTCTGTTGACACATCGGATTCCACGCCGCCGGCGGAGGAGGGACTTGGGCGCACGGTGCTGTCGGCTGGCAGTCCTGGCCCGCCTTCTGGTCTTGGAGATGTCCACGTTCACGCGACTGTCGGAGGTAAATCGCCCGAGCTCGTCTCGGGCGTGACCGGCACTCCGTTCTTTTCTATCTTGAACTTCTCAGGTGAGTGCAATCCAAGATCAGGTGGCGGGTGGGGCTGCCGACTGGGCGAGGGCCGGGCGAGGCGGCGGGCGAGGCGGCGGTGCGGCGGGCGGCGGGCGGCTTGCGTCGTGGGTGCGCGTGGGGGAGGCGGCGCGGGTGGCAGGCGCAGGCGCGGGTGGGGCTTGGGCGGGGGGCGAAGCCGGGAGCGGCTCGCGGGTTGGTCCGGTGGGGGGGGGCGGTGCGGGGCGGGGCGGGGTGGATCGGGTCGGGGCGGGTCGGGGCGGGGTTGCTCGGGTCGGGGTGGGGCGGGGTTGTGGGGTGGGGTGGGGATGTCGGGTTGGGGAGTGGGTGGGCGCCGGAGTGGGAGTGGTGTGACTGCTCCTGTGGTGCGGGCGACGGCTTCTGAGGAAGCCGTCGCCCGCGCCTCACCTGTCGCGTGAATCGTGTCGTGCGACCGCCTTTTGTTGAAAAATTCTCAGGTGGAGAAGCGCTGGCCGCGCTAAGGTGGATGGATCCTCCGACCCCTACATGCCTAGGCTGGCCGATTTTTTTCGCGGTATCCGCGGCGGGATATGGCGGGATATGGCGGGATATGGCGGGATATGGCGGGATATGGCGGGATATGGCGGGATACCGGGAGATACACGCGGATATGACCGGCCGTCGCTCGCCTAAGCGCCTAAGCGGCCTAAGCGGGGGGTGCTTAGAGGGTGCTTAGGCGCTTAGGCGGCCCTTGCGACGGCGTGAGGCGGGCGGGATATGGCGGGATATGGCGGGATATGGCGGGATATGGCGGGATATGGCGGGATACGGTCAGATATGGAGAGATACATCAAGATACCGCAAAAAAATCGGCCAGACTAGGCCTCCCTACAGTATCGTCTGCGCCTTGTCTGTTCTCGAGGTTCTGAGTGTCGTGAATCATGAATCGCGTGTGTCGAATGAATTCCTAGTATCTTGCTCTTAACTCTGTTCTCCCCATTTTTTTTTCGTCGAGCTTAGTTGTACGTACTTTTACTGCGGGGAGAAAAGAGAGAGGGGGTTGTGTTCTCCCCTGACTCCTGGCCCCTCAGCAGTAGTTTTGTGAAATTCTTCGAGCTCCGATCCTCGACACAAATCAATGCTCTCCGCGAACCCCCACCGCCTCCTTTGTTTGTGGAGACAGTCGGAGAAGGGGGCAACACTGACCGTCACTTGCACCCTACCGCCCTCCTCATCACTGCCCCGGCGCCCACGCCTCGACCTTCTTGGGCAGCAGCTGATTCGACACGTCCTCCCCGTGGCCTAGGCAGCCGTCATCGCCCTTGCCCCAGGTAAAGACGGCGCCGTCGGCGGTGCGGGCGATGCTGTGGCGGCCTCCCGCCGACACAGCGACGACGCGCTGGCCGGCAAAGGCCTGGACCTTCTTGGGCAGCAGCTGCTGCTGCTGGTCGCCGTGGCCCAGCTTGCCGTCGCCTCCAAAGCCCCAGCTCCAGACAGCGCCGTCGGCGGTGAGGGCGAGGCTGTGGCGGGCTCCAGCCGACACGGCGACGACGCGCTGGCCGGCAAAGGCCTCGACCGTCTTGGGCAGCAGCTGGCTCTGCTCGTCGCCGTGGCCCAACATGCCAAAGATTCCACCGCCCCAGCTCCAGACGGCACCGTCGGCGGTGAGGGCGAGGCTATGGTAGTGTCCAGCCGCCACGGCGATGACGTGCCGCCCAGCGAAGGCCTCGATCTTCTTGGGCAGCAGCTGGCGCTGCTCGTCGCCGTGGTCCAGCTGGCCTTCGTCTCCGCTGCCCCAGCTCCAGACAGCGCCGTCGGCGGTGAGGGCGAGGCTGTGGCGGGCTCCAGCCGACACGGCGACGACGCGCTGGCCGGCAAAGGCCTCGACCGTCTTGGGCAGCAGCTGGCTCTGCTCGTCGCCGTGGCCCAACATGCCAAAGATTCCACCGCCCCAGCTCCAGACGGCACCGTCGGCGGTGAGGGCGAGGCTGTGCCCGCCTGCAGCCGACACAGCGACGACGCGCAGGCCAGCAAAGGCCTCGATCTTCTTTGGCTGCCACTGCGTCTTCCAGTCGCCGTGGCCCAGCATGCCGAGGCTTCCAAAGCCCCAGCTCCAAACAGCGCCGTCAGCGGTGAGGGCGAGGCTGTGGTACTCTCCCGCCGACACACTCACGGCACGCTCGCCACCCAGCGGGGAAGGGAGGCGGGTCGGCGTGTTGAGCTGCGTCACACCCTCGCCGTGGCCGAGCAGTCCCGGCGTCCAGCTCTCAGCCTTTCCGCACGACGAGAGCCGCCCCTCGCCGACGATGAAGAGGCTGTGCCGTTCGCCTGCTGCCGCCCTCGCCGGCGGGTTGGACTCGCGCAGCAGCGCAGCGAAGCACAGCCATCGCACGGCGCAGCTCTCGCCCTCCGGCAGCGCCGGCAGCTCGAAGCCGCGCTCTTGCGCCCACAAGCGGATGCCCTCCACCGCAAGCGAGGCGTGGAAGAGCAGCGAGACGGCCGCGACGCGAGCGATGTCGGCGGGGTCGCAGCGAGAGAAGACGCGCACGAGGCTCCGTGGGGAGGTCGAGGAGGCGGGTGAGCGCCGGCGTGTCTGGCGAGGGAGCGGCGGCGGAGGCGGAGGCGAGGCGGCGCGAGCGGCGGCGCGGGCGGCGGCGCGGTTGGGTGGACATATACAAACACATAGAAAAAGAATTTCCCGTGCTCGCTACTTTTGACGCCGACGTGACTCGCACATGCAGAGTGCTTCAAAACACGATCTCTTCATCACTCGGACGACAAGCAAAACCACTGAAAAAAGAAATCGTGGTGGTGCGGACGCACGAGTAGCGCTTTGCCGAGCTGGGGCACATATATGGCCGTCTCCGGCTCAAACGATCGCCACAGCGCGATGAACTCTCCGCCACCGGAGGCATGCGGCGCCTTCCTCCGCGTCGTATCCATCAACGACGTGTACAAACTCGACAACTACCCTCGCGTCGCAACGGCAGTGGCCGCTGCAAGGGCCTCCGTCGCGGTGCGCGGCGGTGTCGCCCTGGCCTGCCTGAATGGCGACTTTCTGTCGCCGTGCACCGTGACCGCGCTAGACGGCGGCAAGGCGATGGCTGACGCGCTAAATTACGCTCTTATTGACTACGCATGCTTGGGTAACAAGGAGTTTGACCTTCCTCTCCCCAGCCTCGTGCGGAGCCTGGCTCGCTTCACGCATGGGAAGGTGCTCAACCAGGAGCTAGCCGCGCTGCCACGATTCGACTGCGTCAGAGTCGGCGAGCGCACCGCCGTGCTCGCCGTCCTGTTGACGCCCGACCGTACAAAGTACCGTCCCACGGGATATCCCCACGCAATGCCGATGGCCGAGGCGTGCAACGTGGTGTGGAGGGAGGCCAAGGCGGCACTCGGCGCGAGCGGCGACCTTTTCCTGCCCATGACCCACCAGCCAATCAAGGATGACTGCGCGCTCGCTGCTTGCCTCGCCGAGCACCCAGAGTTGGGCGTGCGCACACCCATTCTGCTGGGCGGGCACGACCACGAGGTCACCTCCACCTCTCTTGCTCTCCTCCCCCCCCGTCCCTCAAATCCGTGGCCACCGCGGCCCGCAGGTGGATGTGCGCGAGGCGGGTGGCGCGCTCATCGTCAAGGCCGGCTGCGACGCGGCGAGCATCGCCGTCGTGGACGTCTACTGGACCGCCTCGGGCGAGCAGAAGAGAGCGTGCAAGGTGATCGCGGCCAAGGAATTTGCGGAGGAGGCATCGGCGGCCACGTTTGTGCGCAGGTGGCAGGCATTCGTGCAGGAGAGCATGGAGGTGCCCCTCGCGCCGCTGCGAGCCCCCCTCTCGTCCAAGCGCGTCCGATTCGAGAGCGCAGGCCAGGTTGGCTCCTTTCTCTGCGACCTTCTCAAGGCGGCGCTGCGCTCGGAGGGCAGTCAGGTGCAGCTCGTGATCCTGCACGCTGCAGCCCTCATGGGCCGCGCCGACTACGCCGCTGGCCAATTCACACTCGCCAACCTCTACGCGGAGCTCGCGATCGATACGCCACTGGTGGTCACCAAAGTGAGCGGCGATGCGCTGCGGCGGGCCGTCTCGCAGACACGGCTCGAACAGAGGGCGTCGCAGCGGCCGTCGCGCAACCTCCTCCACCACGACTCATCCGCATGTTTCGCGGACGACACGGGCGGGCCCGGAAGCATCGATAGAGCTCCGCTCCTCCCAGACGCGACCTACTCGCTTGCACTGCCGCGCTTGCTTCTCGACACGGGCCTGCTCACGCTGCCAGCCGGCACCGAAGGGCGCATCCCCCCGCTCCTCTCTTTTTTTGCGGCCGCAAGGCTGCCTCTACCCGAGGAGGAGGCCTGCATGCTCGCAAAGCAACTGGTTGTGCGGCTGTGCATGCGGCGCGCCTGGCTGGCTCTGCTGCGCTCTTGCTCTCGCAGCCTCAATGACGGTGCCCGCGCCCCCTCGACACCGTCCAACCATATCCTCTCGCCCCGCACGACACTCTCCGCCGCCTCTGCACAGGCATCTGGGACGACGATGGCGACGGCCACCTCTCGCGCCAAGAAGTGGAGAGGGGGCTTGGGCGTGCAGTCGCGCATATCGACACCGATGCCAATGGCTTTTTGGAGCTCGAGGAACTCCTGGCAGCGTTAGGGGACACAGCGAGCAAGGGGCTGGCGCGACTCATGATTCAGACCCTTGACCGCAATCGCGACGGTCGCGTGTCGCTGGAGGAGTTGCTGTCACTCGCCGATGTCGTGTGCGGGGGCAACGCCAGCAGCAGGCTCTCTCATAGTACATAGTACAAACCTTAGGTAGAGAGCATGTGCGCTGGCCTCAGCTGGATCTTCTTATACGGATGTTAGTTCGTCAGATTTGAGGGGTTTGTGTCCTAAAGAGGAAATGTCCAGCCGGGACGGGAGATTGCCCACGCGCTGGCCCTTGGGCGTGCCCCCCACGCACCACGTGTGTCTGTGTGTGGAGAAGAGAGAGTTTATCTTTCCCGTACCGGCTGCGTACCGGTCTTAGACCGTAAGCGTATACAACCCAGTTCGTACACGCCTACACACGAGACTCACACGAGTCCGGCCCGACGAGCTCTCTGCGTAAGTATGGGTGAATGCTACATCTGCCTCTCGGTCCAAGTGATACGCGACAACCACGGCCGTGCTGCATGGGCCGACGATGCGCCGCCACCGTTCCTCGTCCCGCGCTCCCACTTCCGCTCAATACACGCAAATCACGGCCTCGATCGATGTCTCACCGCCCCGGCGCCCACACCTCGATCTTCTTGGGCAGCAGTTGGTTCGACAGGTCCTCTCCGTGGCCTAGGCAGCCGGCCTCGCCCTCGCCCCAGGTAAAGACAGCGCCGTCGGCGGTGAGGGCGAGGCTGTGGCGGGCTCCCGCCGACACAGCGACGACGCGCTGGCCAGCCAAGGCCTCGATCTTCTTGGGCAGCCACTGGGTCTGCTGGTCGCCATGGCCCAGCTGGCCGTGGCCTCCAATGCCCCAGCTCCAGACCTCTCCGTTGGCGGTGAGGGCGAGGCTATGGAAGCCTCCAGCCGCGACAGCGACGACGCGCTGGCCGGCAAAGGCCTCGACCTTCTTTGGCAGCAGCTGGTCCTGCGTGTCGCCGTGGCCCAGCTTGCCCCCACCTCCATAGCCCCAGCTCCAGACAGCGCCGTCGGCGGTGAGGGCGAGGCTGTGGTTGTCTCCTGCCGCCACAGCGATGACGCGCCGGCCCGCTAAGGCCTCGACCTTCTTGGGCAGCAGCCGAATCTGCCAGTCGCCGTGGCCCAGCTTGCCGTATTCTCCATAGCCCCAGCTCCATACAGCGCCGTCGGCGGTGATCGCGAGGTTGTGGAAGAGTGTAGCTGACATGGCGACGACGCGCTGGCCAGCCAAGGCCTCGACCTTCTTCGGCAGCAGCTGGCTCTGCTCGTCGCCGTGGCCCAGCTTGCCGAAGATTCCACCGCCCCAGCTCCAGACGGCGCCGTCGGCGGTGAGGGCGAGGCTGTGCCCGCCTGCAGCCGACACAGCGACGACGCGCAGGTCAGCAAAGGCCTCGACCGTCTTGGGCAGCAGCTGGTCCTGCCGGTCGCCGTGGCCCAGCTTGCCCCCACCTCCATCACCCCAGCTCCAAACAGCGCCGTCAGCGGTGAGGGCGAGGCTGTGGTACTCTCCAGCCGACACACTCACGGCGCGCTCGCCGCCCAGCGGGGAAGGGAGGCGGGTCGGCGTGTTCAGCCGCGTCACGCCCTCGCCGTGACCGAGGAGGCCTGGCACGTGTTCCGCCGAGCCGCACGACGAGAGCCGCCCCTCGCCGACGATGAAGAGGCTGTGCCGTTCGCCTGCGGCCGCCCTCGCCGGCGGGTTGGACTCGCGCAGCAGCGCCATATAGCACAGCCACCGCACGGGGCAGCCCTCGCCCTCGGGCTTCGCCGGCAGCTCGAAGCCGCGCTCTCGCGCCCACAAGCGGATGCCCTCCACCGCAAGCGAGGCGTGGAAGAGCAGCGAGACGGCCGCGACGCGAGCGATGTCGACGGGGCTGTCGAAGCGAGAGAAGACGCGCACGAGGAGCTCCGTGGGGAGGTCGAGGAGGCGGGCGGGCGGCGGCGTGTCTGGCGAAGGCGCGGCGGTGGAAGCGGAGGCGAGGCGGCGCGAGCGGCGCGAGCGGCGCCGCGGTTGGGTGGACATCTCAGCAAAAGAATTTAAAAATCGGATGCGCCCGTTTTTGAGATTCGCCTCGCAGATCACCCGGCGTTTTTCAGATCACCCGGCGTCTGCGACTTTTTGCCTCGCAGATCACCCAACACGGCGAAATGTCGTTTCCAGATTACCCAACACGGCGAAATGTCGTTTCCAGGTTACCCGCGCCGCGAAATTTCTTTTTTCCAGAGCACCCGGTTTTGAGATTCGCCTCGCAGATCACCCGGCGTTTTCCAGATCAGTGAGCGATTTCAGATCACCCACCCGGTGCGGGCCGGCGAAATGTCGTTTCCAGGTTACCCAACACGGCGAAATGTCGTTCCCAGGTTACCCGGCTCGCGAAATCTCTTTTCCAGATCACCCGGTAGTGGGATTCACGACTGCGTCATTCAAGCAAACGAGGCCGGGGATTCCGAGTCGGAGCTCTCCTTAGGACCACGTGCCGCAGGTGCTCGCTCTCTGTCTGGACGAGGTTCACGCTGGCCTTTGCGCCTAGCTAGGCAGCCGTCCGTGTCCGGGTAAGCTGAAACGAGATATTTTGCCCGAGCGGGTAATCTGAAAGAGAAAAAAATGTTAGCCGCCGGCGGGGTGATCTGGACGAGAAATTTGGCCGACCGGGTAATCTGACATGAGAAATGTTAGCGACCGGGTAAGCTGAATTGTGGGAGACTGGGTAAACTGGTTTGACGGAAATCGCGCTAAGCAGGAGAATATCGTTGGCCGGGTAATCTGCGAGGCGAAAATCAAAAATTTTAGAAGAAAAGGCGGTCGCACGACACGATTCACGCGACACAGGCGAGGCGCGGGCGACAGCTTCCTCAGAAGCCGCGTCGCCCGCACCACACAGGAGCAGTCACACCACTCCCACTCCGGCGCCCACCCACTCCCCACCCCGACATCCCCACCCCACCCCACAACCCCGCCCCACCCCGACCCGAGCAACCCCGCCCCAACCCGACCCGACCCGATCCACCCCGCCCCGCCCCGCCCCGCCCCCCACCGGACCAACCCGCGAGCCGCTCAAAAGAATTTTACGTACCACAAGAAAGACCGACCGGCGGCCAGCACCCACCCTCTACTACGCGGCATGTTGCTCCTTGGACCACTTGGATGACCCTGTGTGGTGGCGGCGTGCCGTTCAGCGTTCTCCCTTCCGATTCCCTCCGCTCGGGTACGGGTTGTCTGTGTTCCCCCCGTTTTCCTTCACTACCAGGCGACGCCAAAACAAATTCACAGATCATGGACGATGTGGATGCTGTATGGACCCTCCTGAACGCAAAGTCGGATCCGCCACAACGCTGTCTTAAGCACCTCTCCCCAGTCACGACGAGAAGGAGAGCAGCACCTCGACGACCTCGAAACACGCGCGGAGCTGCCATGCGCACGCGGCGACCATGCAGTCATCGCCGGTTGCGTCAAGGTCCGCCGCCCTCCATTGGCAATCCTCGCAGCCGAGGGGTGGGTCGTCTTTGTCCTCCGTTTGTCCTCCAGCGCTCGTTGACAATCTGGTTGTTGCGGAGCTCGAGCCAAGGCGAGGAGGGCTTGCCGAGGGTGGCGTACAGCGCCTTGCAGCCCTCGTCGCCAATCTGGTTGCTGTTGAGCAAGAGCCCCATGAGCCGCGGCGCTGCCCCCAGCTTGCCGAGGGCGGCGGCCAGCGCCTTGCAGCCCTCGTCGCCAATCTGGTTGCTGTTGAGCCAGAGCACCATGAGCCGCGGCGCTGCCCCCTCCTTGCCGAGGGCGGCGGCCCGCGCCTTGCAGCCCTCGTCGCCAATCTGGTTGCGGTTGAGCCAGAGCCTCTCGAGCCGCGGCGCTGCCCCACTCGCGAGGACCTCCGCCAGCTGCGCCGCCTCCGCGTCGCCCCAGCCGAGGTCGTCGTAGATCAGCTCGGTCGCCTTGCCAAACTGCTCCTTGAAGGCGGCCTCGTACAGCCGCTTCACGAGCGGCTTGTCGTCCTTGCCGTTGGTGAAGCTCTTCGACTCCAGCTCCGCCGCAAACACAGACGGCAGCAGCGGAGGGCGCCGGCCGCCCTTGGTGCAGTCGAGGATGAGGTTGTTGAAGTGGTAGCTCTCGCGGTCGCGCATCAGGCCGAGGTCGAGCGAGAGGTTGCTGGACTTGGTCAGGCTCGCCCAGGCGTTCTCGGTGGCGCACCAGCCTCGGTCAAAGTACTTGGCCACGTTGGTGCCCGTGGCCTGGTCCTTCGCCTTGTGGCCGTCCGGGAAGGAGGTCAGCCGCAGCACCCATGATATCGATGTCTTCGGGTGGGAGTAGAGCGTGCCGAGGCAGCTCAGCCCCTGCTTGAAAAGCGCGTTCTGCTCCTCGGTGCGCATGACGCCGTTCGCGGGGTCGGGGTGCTGGTGCAGCGAGCCGTAGTCCCAAAAGACGCCGAGCCGGTTCAAGCCGCCGACGGTAAGGGCCTTGAGCGCCCGTGCGACGCGACTGAGGTTGGCTCCGCGCGGGTCGGGGTGGTCCTTCGTCAGCCACGGGTAGGAGAGCGCGGCGACGGGAATGTGCTGCGAAAACTCGTGCATCGCCTCGACGAGGTCTGCGAGGGAGAGGAAGGCCTCTTCGGGCAGCGCCTGGCGGTGAGTGAGGACGCCGCCCGCCTCAGCGTGGCTGATGATCCACCGCGCGTCGAGGAGGGCGACGGCGCCGCTCGCGAGGACCGGCTCGAGGGCGTCGCCGCCGAGCTCGCGCCACCGCTCCAGCTTCTCCTCGTACACCACAGGAGCCGCTCCACGGGAGCCGCCTAAGCGACTCCTGCGAGGACGGCGAGGCACTTAGCTTCGTGCACTCGACCGCCCTCGCCGCAGGCGAGCTCATTCAATAATCTGCTCTGCGATGGCCGTGTGAAGAACGACTGAGATACGCTCGTGCTTCTGCAGCCAACTCTTGGTGGTCCAAGTCACCTCATCGCGAGGTACTGCACGGGGCCCGCGTCTCACCTCTCACCGCGTCAGCGGTTGTTCTGGTGTGCGTCGACCGTCGTGGAGCAGAATATTTTTTCTCCGGGATCTCTCACACGTCACTCAGAGGGGCGCCGTCCAGGTCCCAATTTCCAGCTACCAAGGCATACTATGACACCACTCTCTTCCAACCCACATGCTCCTGAACAGCTGTACATGCACCGACGCAACAGAACATTATGGATGCACGGCAGAGGCGCGCGCGCCGTCGTCGCATCTCGGCGCCACCGCCTCCCACACGGTCGAAGCTCTCGGGCCGAGGGGGAGAGCGGCCCTGCATGCTGCCACAGACCCCTCATGCAACGCACACGCAAATCACGCACGAGGGGGGGGGGGGGTGCATCCAAGTTAACGCTATGTAAGGCATCTTACTCGACCTCCCACATCCGCATCCAGTCGATGCTCGCAGAGTCGAGCTGGGCGATGCCATCCCGGAGGTGGGAGCGGTACTGGTCGAGCCGCTGCTGCGGGTGCGAAGTCTTGGAGGCGAAGGCGAGGTTAAAGATGACGAACATTGGCTGCTCGAACGGCTTCCAGAGGCCGCGCCCGAACCAGCGGCCCCAGCCGTCGGGGCTGTCGTTGCGCACGCGCAGCTCCAGCCCCCCGTCGCCTTTGCGGCGCCGCGCCTCCGCGACGGGCTCGTCGTTGACAAACCACCTGCCGTGGTGCGAGGGTTGCTGCTGTGGTACGCATCATGCATGTGAGTGCGTGTGCATGCGTGTGTCGCGCGGTCCACCACCGGAGCGAGTCAGGCTCCTTCTCGAAGCGGTAGACGTTGTAACCCGCCGGGTCAACCTTCCCATCCCTGACGAGTTGGTCGTAGCCTCCCTCGTTGAAGGCCACCCACCGCAGCTTGTCCCTGCCGTCCCATCCGCCGACCGGCGGCGGAGCGTTGGAGGTGTGCGCAGTGAGGCAAGGCACCTGCGCGCGGTGAAGTCGTGAGGTATTACGCACGGAGCAAGCGCGGAGCAAGCGCGGAGGAAGGGCTATCACTGCCACAGGGAAGGGCGAGGTTCGGGGCACCATCGCTTTGCCCACGGCGTTGTCCCAAGACACCTTGGTCACCCACATCTCCGTGATCTCCACCTCGCCGCAAAACGGCCACCCGACGGAGCGGAAGTCGGCGCCGAGTAGCCAGAAGGCGGACCACGAGTACTCGTTATGAGAGGCGAGCCGCACGCGCGCCTCGAGCACGCCGTGCTTCAGGGCCGCCTGTGGGAGGGGTGAAGTGAGGCAAGGGGAGGCAAAGTAAGGGATTCAGCGAGGCGCGATTGCAATGTGTGGATGTGAGCAGGCCGCCTTGCCCATCGTGTTTATGCGACCCGAAAAGAAGCCAGTGGGAGGGCGCCGATCGGATTGGTCGCACACAGAGTCAAAGCCGACCGACAAGTGTGCCTGGGGCGGGTAGAAGGACAATGGATCCATATTGCACTTCTGGCCCTGTGCTGTGCCACCGCCGCCGTTGTTTGCTTTGGGGTCGTAGAACAGCTGCAGCGTGAGCGCACCGTTGCGGACGCTGACCCCCTCCGGCACGTAATATTGAGCCTCGTCACCACCGCTGCGGATGCCGTCGTTGCGAACCTCCACATTCCACAAGGCGCCGTCGACGCTCGAGCCGTCAAAGTCATCCCTGGCCGAGAGGTAGCACCTCTTCTTCAGGCGCGGGCCGCACGGGTCCACGTCTCGCCCCGTGGCAGCGGAGGCAGTCGTGGCGGCGGAGACGGCGGTGGAGGCGGCGGTAGTGGTGGTGGAGGCGGCGGCGGCGGCGGCGGCGGCGGCGGTGGCGACGGCGGTGGCGGTGGCGGCGGGAGAGGGAGGTGTGGCAGGCGCGGTGGCGGTGGTTCTCGCGAGGCAGTGGACGCCCCCTCCAGGGGCTGGCGCGACGTGTGTGACGGGCTCAGAGTGGAGCTCGCAGCGCGTGTACCCTCCCGCAGAGCCCCACTCGTACGCGAGGCAGGCCGACCGAGCAAAGCACTCCGCCTCGCACCCCTTGCGCGTGCCGAGCCAGGCGGCAGTCTCGTACTTTGAGCGGCCGGCGGAGCGGCAGTAGCCAGCACTGCGCCCTCCGGGCGGCGCAACAAAGGTGCCGGTGGGCACAATAGCGGACGGTGCAGGAGCAGACGGGCGGCACGGCCCGCAAACTGCGAGGAACTCCAAACCGACCTGGTCGCAAGCTTCGGCCTCAGGCAAGCCCAGGTTCGCGATCACCCACCGTATCCGATCGCCGCATGAAAAGCCGTCCGCAGACGCCGAGAGCACTGACTCGGTGCAGCGCGGAGCGCAGATTGCGCTTGCCGGGTCGGGGCGGAGGAAGGCCAGCAGATTGAGAAGGTGCTTGTGCATTCCTGTGCATACTCGGTGTCGAACCACCAGCTCGACGCTCACTACAAGTGACCCGGGTGCCGAGCAGCAGGCTGACACCCAGAAGCGCCGTGAAAAAACAAATCGTGCGCGCAAAAGCAAAAAAAAATGATTGCGCGGCCCGAGATCGCCGAGATCGCGCGGTTCTGCAGCACCTCGGCATGATATCTCGGGCTCGGCGAGGTGGATGGGTTGGGGGCGAGGGGGCCTGTGAGAGAGAGAGAATTCTTGATACGAAACCACGACGACACACACCAGTCGACTCGCATCGGTTGCCTCCATGAACGGCGGAGCTATTCTCGCGCCCACACCACACCTGGCTCCAACGTGGACACGCCCATAGCTGGGGACACTACTAGGTCACGCATGGCATCACAGAAGTTTTATCTCTGGGCCCCGAAAGGCATCTCTAGCAGTGTCGTTACACATGCCCCCTCCCCTCCTGGGCGCATGCGCCTCACGTCTCGCCAGAGCATAAGCCCTTGGCGTGTGGCGAGACGAGTTTTTCGCCATTGCAGCGAGCAGCAACCCGCCCGCCGCAAACAGCCGGAGGCCTCGCCGCGGCACTGGCTGCGCCGCGGTCCCGCACCCGTCGGCGAAGCTCCCCCCGCGGAAGACCGCGCGTAGCGACGCCTTGACGATCGAGATGAGCGTGCCTGAAGCTCGCCCACCTACTGCCCCTGAGAGTTGGTTACGAGTGGGATCAGCTCCCCCCCTTGGGATCACAGCTTCCACGACCTCACACCCAACATCACAGGCGGGATCAAAAGGGGACTCCACACCGGACACCGCCCGGGCACAGACCCCCTACCCGTCGGATTGCACAGGGCCCCCTCGGAGCAGCCCACACACAATCACGCATCGGCAGATTGAGTGCCTGAGTCAGGCAGACAGCACAGACAAGGAGAGGAGAGAGAGAGGAGAGAGAGAGAGAGAGGGGAGAGAGGAGATGGTGAGGGAGTGTGCACGCGTGTGGAGCGGGGAGGGTGTCTGTGGTGGGCTGTAGTCCTACTACGTGGTTAAAACCACGCGCCCCTCAGGAGCTTAAGGTAGAGTGGAGCGTCCTAGACGCCTCAGTGCCTCCCACCGGGTGAGACCATCCGGATCTGCCCAGCGCGCCCTCCGGGCGGGCTGGTCCCCGCGATGGCCCACGGTCCTCCGTCGCCTGGTTGAAGAGGGCGGCGATCATCAGCGCGGTGCCGCCCTGGCTGCTCTGCAAGTTGATCTGCGCGCCGCGCTGCAGCAGCAGCTCGACCACCCGCTCGTAGCCCTCCTGGGCGGCGAGCATCAGCGCGGTGCCGCCTTTGCTGCTCTGCAAGTTGATCTGCGCGCCGCGCTGCAGCAGCAGCTCGACCATTCGCTCGTGGCCTTGCTGGGCGGTGTACATCAGCGCGGTGACGCCGCTCACATCGCCTACCCCGCAAGTCGCGTTGACCCGCCCGCCGCTGTCAAGCCACGCCAGCAGCGCCGCCTGATCGCCTTGTACAACCGCTTTCGCCGCCTCTGCGGGAAGGCTGCCAAGTAAGCTGGAAGAGGCCGCGTCACTCGCTCCCGCCGCCGCCTCGCCAGAGATGCTGCCAGCCACCATACGTTGTATTCAGGGTTCCCGCTCTTTGTGGCTGGGGGCGGCGGATCTCACCGCGATCAACAGCAGGGAGACGTCCACCAGCACGCAGCACCCCGTGGTACGAGGGTGGTGCTGGTGCTGCTCGATGAGGAGTTGCACGTTCGCCGCCTTCCAGATCCAGTATCCAGAGGATCTCGCCGACCACCTTCCCGAACGAACCCAGAACCCACCGAACGACTCGAACAGCAGCAGCTGCACGTCGACGTGACGTCCTCCCTGCACCCTGGCGTAGCGATACTCGCCGCCATATAGGACGGTATGCGGCGGTCGCCGCCCACTCCACCCTTCCCCCACTATTTGCCAGAGCGAGAGCGGCTGAGAGCCGCGACCCGTGTCCCGCCGTGTTTACACACCGTCAACATCGCGCCAGCAACCGCCGCACGCTAAACGGCTGGCTCTTGCTACCACTGGGTTACCAATTCCTATCGCCCCACAAGCCACAAGTGTTCACTTGGCGCCCCTTCCGCCCGACCTGGCCTTGTGCTCGGGCGGCAAGTAAAAGCTGCGCGGCTGCCCGTCCCACTCCGTCATGCGCAGCGGGAGCCGCTGTCGCTCCTGCAAGGCGGCGACTGGCGACGGCGGCGGAGGTGCGGGGCAGAGCTGCAGTGGCTTGTGCATCGCGTGCTGCAGCCCGAGCTGTGCGACCAGGCGCGCCATCTCGGGGAAGGTTTGCTCGCACTTGACCCAATAGTAGGTGAAGTGGATGGCGTCAAACATGAGTGGCGCGTGGCGGATCGCGACGTCGGTGTAGTTGTAGTGCCGCACTCGGGAGGCGTCGAGCCAGGCCGTCTCGAGCGCCGCAACCTGATGCGCGTCGATGCTCGCGCACTCGCCCTTGAAGCGCTTCGCCGAGCGCATCAAGAACCCGCCGCCCGCCGGCTGGTACACGAGGTGGCTCTGCAGCGTCCGGCGCGGGAAGTTGCTGAGCACCGTCTGCGGCAGCACGCCGCGCAGCGGGCTGCAAAACTCCATCTCGTGCAGCGCCTGTCGGGGGGAGCGGTAGCCTTGGTTGGTGGTGGCTGGTGGCTATGCCGCTGCTGCTGCGGCCCTCTCGGCGAGGGCGACGGATCCGCGCTACGGGATCGTGTGTCCGCGTGGCGGCACCATCACGGCCACTCCCCGCCACTCCCCGCGACTCACGGCGTATCGGCACCATCCCATTGACGACCCACAGGATGGGCTTGCGCACGCTGCCGCGTTGGACTGAGAAGCTCTCACCGCCTCCGCCTCCGCCTCCGCCTCCGCCTCCGCCTCCGCCTCCGCCGCCGCCGCCGCCGCCGCCGCCGCCGCCTCCATGGCGGTGCGACTGCATGCAGTCGGGCAGCGTATCTGGCCGCACGTTCACTGCGCCCCAGGCGGCCTGCGGCGGACGGGAGGCGCCGCACGATTTGATGTCGCGGTGTGGGGCGATGGGCGCGAGGGTGTGGAGGTGGAGCGGCGGTCGCCTGGTACGAGATGAAGAAGTCGGACTCGCACAGGTGGTCCGGCACGGTGAGTGCGCCGCTCCACTCGTGCGGCCGCGTCAGCAGCAGGAGCCTCATCCGCTCCGCCTCGCTGGCGTTGGCAAACGGCGAGGACAGGAGGCACGGCGCACCAGGTGCGCCGCACGAGGCGTGGAAGCCGGTCTTGCCGACCACGCGCGGCACGCAGCCGGTGGCCCACGTCGCTTGGCTCGCCTGGGCGCCCGGAATCACCGTGGGTCGGCGCTTGGCGATGTTGGATCTGCTAAAGACGGGATCGCTCATGTTCCATTCGACGGGCGACCCGCTCGCCAGCAGGCCCAGCGCCGCCCACGCCACCTCGCGGATCTGCGAGTCGCCGACGTAGATAACCCCGGCGTACCTCTCCCGCACCTCTGCCGCGCGCACGAGCTCCTCTCCTGTGGCCGTGGCCTCCAGCTCCCACCGGAAGCCGCTCGCCGAGCGGATGGCGTCGCGGCCGGCCATCACGTTGGCTGACCACACCGTGGAACTGACGCCGTACAAGCCCGTGTCTGAGGTGGTGCCCGAAGGCAGCGGTGGCATGCCCGCGAACTGCAGGCAGCCAGCGCTCTGCGCGCACAGGGCAAACATGCCGTTGGGTGTGCGCCCCCCCTTTTCTTGTGAGAGGGGCTTCGTCGTTCGAGAATTCTTTCTTTCTCTCGCCGAAACGGCGGGCGTCCCTCCATGGCGGCTGCCTCCGACGGCGGCCACCATGGTGGCCGACCTGGAGCTCCTCAGCGGCCGCAGCCGCTCGTGGCCGCTGCCGAAGGCACCGGTCGCAGGAGCTTCAGCTCGGTACACGCCCTGCCGGCCGGTGGGCCATGCTTTGTTGGACGACGTGCTGGTGCTCTAGACCAACGCCAAGTCCAGCTGAGCTCTGCCTGCCGGCCGCCGCGACGCGAGAGCCAGCTCCTCGAGGCTCTTCCTGCTGCTACGGCTCGGCCGCCGGGCAGCCGGCTCGCGCCTCGCAGCCGGCTCGCGCCTCGCAGCCGGCTCGCGCCTCGCAGCCGGCTCGCGCCTCGCAGCCGGCTCGCGCCTCGCAGCCGGCTCGCGCCTCGCAGCCGGCTCGCGCCTCGCAGCCGGCTCGCGCCTCGCAGCCGGCTCGCGCCTCGCAGCCGGCTCGCGCCTCGCAGCCGGCTCGCGCCTCGCAGCCGGCTCGCGCCTCGCAGCCGGCTCGCGCGGCTCGCGCCTCGCAGCCGGCTCGCGCGGCTCGCGCCTCGCAGCCGGCTCGCGCCTCGCAGCCGGCTCGCGCCTCGCAGCCGAGGCTCGCGCCTCGCAGCCGAGGCTCGCGCCTCGCAGCCGAGGCTCGCGCCTCGCAGCCGAGGCTCGCGCCTCGCAGCCGAGGCTCGCGCCTCGCAGCCGAGGCTCGCGCCTCGCAGCCGAGGCTCGCGCCTCGCAGCCGGCTCGCGCCTCGCAGCCGGCTCGCGCCTCGCAGCCGGCTCGCGCCTCGCAGCCGGCTCGCGCCTCGCAGCCGGCTCGCGCCTCGCAGCCGGCTCGCGCCTCGCAGCCGGCTCGCGCCTCGCAGCCGGCTCGCGCCTCGCAGCCGGCTCGCGCCTCGCAGCCGGCTCGCGCCTCGCAGCCGGCTCGCGCCTCGCAGCCGGCTCGCGCCTCGCAGCCGGCTCGCGCCTCGCAGCCGGCTCGCGCCTCGCAGCCGGCTCGCGCCTCGCAGCCGGCTCGCGCCTCGCAGCCGGCTCGCGCCTCGCAGCCGGCTCGCGCCTCGCAGCCGGCTCGCGCCTCGCAGCCGGCTCGCGCCTCGCAGCCGGCTCGCGCCTCGCAGCCGGCTCGCGCCTCGCAGCCGGCTCGCGCCTCGCAGCCGGCTCGCGCCTCGCAGCCGGCTCGCGCCTCGCAGCCGGCTCGCGCCTCGCAGCCGGCTCGCGCCTCGCAGCCGGCTCGCGCCTCGCAGCCGGCTCGCGCCTCGCAGCCGGCTCGCGCCTCGCAGCAGCTCGGCTCCGTCTGTCATCCGGCCGGTCGTCCACTGCCACGCCAGCTGGCTTGTGGCAGCTGGCCCGCGTCACACGCTACTCGACCTCCAGCAAGGAGTACCGGGACGCATTCTGGGAGGTGTTCCACTCGGTGCCCAGACGGTGAACGAGCTAGCGTGCGGGGACAGCGGCATTGTGCACGGAGCTAAGTGCATTGCCGTTCTTAACGGAGTCGCTTAGGCGGCTCCGGTGGTGTGCCGGTGATAGTACTAGCACGCGCCAGTTCGCACCTGTGTCGAGCCTGTGTGCTGTGAGAGAGAGTTCTTTTGTTTGAATTCTTGAGAGCGCCTTCGTTGTTAATAGTACAAACCCAATGGTCCCTTGCAAGCGGTCCTTCGTTGCAGTCGCGCACACGCACACGCCACGCCGCACCGCGCGCCCGCCCACTGCCCCGCCCAGGCGGGAAAGAGATGAGGAGATGGGACAGCAAAGGAGGAGCCAGACACGCACGTATGGGAGGGTTCAGTGTGTCTCGCGCCTTGCGGGGGGGGAGCGGAAAGGAGGAACCTCTTCCCAAGAGCACCACTCTTGGAGCGCCGCCACTACCACCCAGAGCGCTGCAAGCAGCGCCGGGCAATGACGGCTTACCGCCCACCCAGCCCCCCCTCGGCACACCCCGGCAGCCAATGTGTGACGGCTCGAACCCGCTAAGCCATCCCGCAAGCGGGATGGCCCGCCACTCGAACCCGCAAGCGGGTGTACGAACCGCGAGCGTTGCGCGTCACGCTGCCCGGCGTCTCTCACTTTCCGGGACAGCCCCGCCCTTTCGAGGCAGGAAAGTGACGGCTACCCCGTACGCCCTGTTGCTTCTACCCCGACGCCGACCGCCCATCCCCCCCTCTTCGTTCCCCCCTCGAATTCTCCGGACCCCGACAAGCCGCCCGACGTTGGGCCTCTGCCCCGCACGCCCCCGCCCCTTCTGCCCCTCGCTCACACCCCGGCCCGACACGCACATACAAGACAAACCCGGCGTCCTGCTCTCAAAAGAAAAGAAAAAATGGGAAGGAGGAGACCAGCGGGGGAGACTCCCCGCCTATGCAACACCCCAGAGAGGGGCTGCCATGAGCTAGCCTTCGATGTTATGAAAACAAACGCAAGGCGGACACAAGCACATCGCTCTCTCGGTCCCACAGACATCCCGCACACCCGCCGCACACCCGCCGCCCCCGCGCGCGCCCCACCCCGGCCGGGAGAGAGGGGAGTGACAGTTTGGGATGGCAACAGAACGAGTATGTTGAGTCCTGGCTCAACAACGCAGAGAGAAATGAAAGCCGTCCGGCTCACAAGTCCGGCTCACGCGCCCCGACTGACCCTTTACCGCACTGGTCACTTCCGCCCCCTCGCTCCCAACCCATCCATCCACCTCGCCGCGAGGCGCCGCGCAATCTCGGGCGATCTCGGGCCATCTCGGAGCTCCACGCCACGCCCCCCCCCCGTTCCCGCCGCCGTGCCGCGCTATCTCGGGCGATCTCGGAGCGTCGCTCGCGCGGCGGCACACCCTGCTCAAAAAAGGAAGGGCCCGGTTGGAGCCACGGGGCTCACACACTCGCTCAGGGCGCCGCCTCACTCTGCGCCCCGCTCGGCGCGTTCCTCGCCCTCCACTTTTCTTTTGAGCTTAGCCGTATCAAGAATACTCATCATCTGTCCAGCGTCCACCCATACCGCGTCGGTGTCCAGTCCGAGCCTGAGGAGACTGTTCTTCACCTTCCTACATACATACATACTCACTCACACACTTAGCCTTCGATGTTATGAAACAAACGCAAGGCGGACATGGCATATCGCTCTCGGGCCCACAGACATCCCGCACACCCGCCGCCCCCCGCGCGCGCCCCACCCCGGCCGGCGGGCCGGGAGAAAGGGGAGTGACAGTTTGGGATGGCAACAGAACGAGTATCTTGCACTCCAATCTCCATCCATGTGCAAGAACGCAGATAAAGGACTGGGGCTGGTCAGGCCCACAAGTCCGGCTCATGCGCCTCGACTGACCATCTACCGCACTGAACACTTCCGCCCCGTCGCTCCGCCGTCCCGAGATATTTCTGTGAACAGCGTCTCTTCTCGACAGATCTCAAAGCACGCCGACCCGATCGAGTGAGATCCACGGTGTGTATAATGCCGTGCAGCGCCTGCCGCGACCGCCACCCAAAGGGCCGCCCTGGGACTGCGCCGCCCGCTCCGCGTTGGAATTGCCCATGCGGCCGCCGCCGCATCCTCAATTTCTCCGCTCATCGGACACACTCTCCGTCTGATCAGGTGCCGAGTCTGAGGTGCGCCTCGCTCTTCATCTCCTTCTAGATGCCTCCACCCTTCCAACCCCCACAAAGAAACGCAAACACAGCCCACTTCCCTGGCGGGGCGCGTACCATGGCTTCGCACGAGTCGCGCGGCCTCCCGAGCGTCCAAGCCGCGGCACGAGGGCCTTCGAGGTCCCATGTATTGCGGCCAGGCAATGAACGACGATTCGCCCACCGCCGCTTCGTTGCTGCCACTTCCGGCCACCGCCGCCGTTGTGCCGCCGCCTCTGCCGCGCAACGTGCCGCCGCAGCCTTCACCGCCGCCACCGATGCCTTCACCGCCGCCACCGATGCCTTCGCCGCCCTGCCGTCGACACTGCCGCCGCCGCAGCCCCCGCCCCCTTCCTGCCTCCTCTCCGCCTCCCCCCTCGCCCTCGTCGC